CCGATGACTTCCTCACTTTGTTTCATGAAATCACAAACATCTACCAGCCCTCTGCACACACACACCAACAGATTTTCTCTTTTTAGAGAATAAAACAAGAAAGAACCCAGAGTTGCTTGCTCATTACGGACTTTTACGAAGTCTGAAACAATCCCAGCTGTGGTCTGAAGCAGAGAAACTCAGCAAGCCTTAAATGGGTTAAACCATTTCCTCAGAGAGGGGGATTCCCCGCCCCACATGCTGAGTGTGGTCTTACCCCAGGGTTTTAAACATTCCTCCTGCCTCCTTCCTCAGCTCGTTCATTTTTCATTTACCTCCCACTGTTTTATGGAAAGAGAAACATGGTGACCGCTGACCTTTTTATGCTTGGTTGCCGTTAACAAAGTTGGGGTTATTCACCCTTATCTACAGTAGGAGTTCTTTTTTGCCATTTGTTGGGTTTTTTTTCAGTCACAGAATGTTTTTTTCTTGATGAATTTCCAAAACAAACTGCCTTGTTTTGTTTTAATATATGCAAGATTTCGACAATCCATTTCCTAACCAACCAAGATAAACTACCTCTGGAGGGAACAGGGATGTTAGCCTTTGCAGACCGTTTACATGCACAAAAACTTACACTACAGGAAAAGGGAAAAACCCCAAAAGTGTAATAAGGCCTCTTTAAAACATAATTCAAAAGAAGGGGAAATTATAAAAATACAGATGGTTGACCAAGACCAGCTTGATGTCTGACACATTTCAGACCAAACCAAACAAAAACACTTTGATGATTAAAGCTTGTCCCCCCCACCCCTCCTCTGTATTTTATTTTTCCGTCCCCACAGCTGTTGTCAGAGCACACAGCTGCAACACTGCAGCGAATCGACAGCAGGGGAAACCCAACCAATCGCCAAGTGTTGTGGATAAAGTGTAATGTGACGACCCAAACACACACACACACACACTGACACACACACACACACACATTTTTGGGTCGAATGATCTCAAGGCAAGGCAGCACAGACAGAAAAAGAGCTGAGTTCATCCTCCCTTCATGGCCCACGTGGTGATGATTCACCAAATCCTGAGGAACTAAACTCAAAGTGTCACGGTTCATTTGTGTCCCCGTGCATCTGAGCGTTTCCACAAACACTTGTCCCCTTCTTTAATGAAACAATTACACCTTCCTCCCAGAGCCACAATAAAAAAAAATAATACTCAAAGCAAATCAAAATGTGATAATAGCTGTATTGTTAAACAAGATGCAGGCTTGGGGAGTAACGGGTTACATGTAATGGGTTTAGATAATCAGGATACAAAAACAGGTAATTGTATTCCCTTACAGTTACATATAAATAATCAGATTACTGTTACATTTCTGAAACTGGGGATTACTAGCAGGATTACAGTGTTCCTTTGTGCAGGTGAACCTATATGTTCATAAAATAGTGTGTGTGAGCTTAACTGTGTGTGTTAAACTAAAACGGAGCATTTTCTGTCAGCTCAGATTTTATTTCTGCTTTTTTAAATTGTGGTATGTGCTCATGTGTTTCAGTGTTGGTGTATCGGTTGAATATGCTTCATGAAAGGCAGGTTTTCCTATAAATACAATCTGTTCTGATCCTAAATATGTTGGTTTCTTCTTTTCTAAGGTCACATTGAATAGGTAACTAATAATTGCATGAGAATACATATTTCCCAACCCTGAAGAAAACACACCCCAACAGCCATCTCTTAATCATGAGGAGGCGTTTCATGGCTCTCACTGTGAGGCAACAGAATCGCCTCGGGGCCGGCCTCTTTGTCCATGGAGGCACAAAGTGATCCAAAGTGACACTCGTCTCCACGGAGGAATCTCTGAATGCTGCTGGTCACTTTGTGGGATCCCCAGAGGCAGAAGTGGAGATAGAGGAGACCTAGAGATTGTTCTATGGACACTGACGCCATATTGTACATCTGTAAAGTAAGCCTGAGAGCGCCTGTTTACCCTGGAGCATGTGAGCCAGAGGAGTCTGTGCCAACAATCCAGGTTCCTGCTCAACTCCTGAATTCTCAAACTGTGATCATCATGTGACAGAAAGATGGTCGTAAATTGTTTTTTGTCTTAGTCCTTAGTCAATGTAAAGGTAGTTTGAGAAACCGGCTCGAGATACACTTTTTGTTATATTCCATGGAAGGCTCTTAACATCCCGATAGCAATGAATATCTTAAGTGCTTTGACAAAAAATCCATTAAAAAATGTCATCTGTGGAAGCCGTAGTACTGTAAAAAGCACGACCAATCATCTGAGCCGGCCCGGCTAAAATAACTGGATGGCCTACCTGCCTGTCAGCCTTCCATCTGTGCACAAACTTATCTCGTGCCCTCATTGGTCATGTGCGCGTTCGTGTGTGTTGGAGGAGGGGCTCTGTAAGGAAGTGGCAGACTTTCTCCGGTCGTGTATTTTCAAATTATAGCGATCTCGAGCCGGTTTCTCAAACTTACCTACCCTACCTTTAATGCTTTGTTCACGCTGAATGACTTATTACCACGTACTTACAGTATGTAGTAAACATGATTGGTTGTAGAAGATAAAAAAAAGTGTCTACATTTCTAAACTCGATGCAGACAGATATCTCTTTATTTTGTTGCAGCAATTCACGTGATTAAACTCCTGGTCACATCATGGCCTAAAATGTCTCTGTATACGTAAATGTACTTCTTGGAGAACAGAGGTTATTTGGCGTTCTGATTACCACATGCTTTGGCCTATGAACAAGCAAGATAAATATCAAGTTTGTGTCGATCAAGAAGTGGAATACAAGTTCAAAATGTGTTTTTTTTGCAAGGGTCCACATTGACTTTATACTTCCTGATGCCTGTGACATGTCAGACAGCAGCGAAAGGAAATATAGACATCATTCTACACAGCTTTCATGAGTGTGTTAACACCATCATTAGGGGAACATGAAAGCCGAGTCATTTACAGATCTGGTTTCTGAACAACATCGACTCGTCTCCAGGTGTGTCTTCTCATCCTTTAGGGACAGAATCCCCTCTGGCTTCACTTCAATACTGCAATCAGAGACACGGTTTGCATATTTTGCAGCACAGCAACAACATAACCATAAATGCCCATAAATCGAGGTGACTAAACAATAAATCATATGACTCTGTTAAACCCTCGGGTGACCAACTATAGCTTTCATATTCAGTGTTTTCATTAAACCTGCCCTCACGGTGGCATGTTGAGTCACCACACACTCAAGTCGAGGAACTCAATGTCAAACGATTTAATATGGATTTGTTCCAAAACACTTGCTTAGTGTCTATTCCCGTTCCCGTTGTGTCGTACAGGAAGTAGAATAAAGCTCAAAATGTGCTTTTTTTGCAAGGGACCAGATGTCTAGTACATTTTAAACATCAGTCAAAAGAAATCTCGACATCAAACAGAGGCTTACAGACTGGTTTATACATATTTTAGGGTACATGAAAGCCTGAAGATGGAGCTTAGTAATTTACGGATGTGGCTGCTCTTCTTCTGCACAACATCAACTATTTTCCAGGTGTGTATTCTCACCCTGAAGTGACAGAATCCCTTCTGTATGCGCTTCAATGATGCAATCAGTGACAAGGTTTGCATATGTTTGCAGTACAGCAACAACATAACATAAAAAGCCCATAAATCAAGGTGACCAAACAATAAATCAAAGCTTATTTGACTTATTTAAACCCTTACGTGACCATCTATTCAGTGTTTCTGTTAAACCTGCTTTAACTGTGGCAATCAGCGTGTTGAGTCACCGTACATCTGCACCACACACTCTAGTCAAGGAGCTCAATGTCAACCGATTGCATTTGGATGTGTTCCAAAAGTCTTGGGAAGTGTCTACTCTCGTTGCTGCAATGCAACACAGCACGAAAAAAAAATGCATATGGGTCTACTTTGTAGCCACATGCAAATGAAATCAATCACAGCTTTGTAGTGTGTGTGGTGTATCATCAGATGGAGTGAATGCTTACAGGTCAATACTAGCTTAACTGTGTATTGCTCCATAATAAGTCCCTTTCTTGTGGTTTGAAATAATGCAGTGGTTCGGGTAAAGTATCAAATAATGCAGTGGTTCGGGTAAAGTATCAAATAATGCAGTGGTTCGGGTAAAGTATCAAATAATGCAGTTGTTCGGGTAAAGTATCAAATAATGCAGTTGTTCGGGTAAAGTATCAAATAATGCAGTTGTTCGGGTAAAGTATCAGCCACATAGAAAAATAAAAATGCACTTTTCTTTCAATCTATGCTCTAATTTCTACCAGGCATAAACCGACACTAATCTCTAATGGAGGTGGTCTACAGGAGCACTGGGTCTCCATCAGATGCCTGATCCACTGAGTGTGAGTGTGAGTGTGTGTGTGTGTGTGTGTGTGTGTGTGTGTGTGTGTGTGTGTGTGTGTGTGTGTGTGTGTGTGTGTGTGTGTGTGTGTGTGTGATGGGATGAGCAGGCATACCACTACCACTAATATTGCAGCACAGAGCCACTCCAGTAATAGGGCTTCTGGGCAATAATGTGCACAAATGCGCAATGAAACACCGCCCACCCAATGGCGCACAAGTCGGTCAGCGTGGTTTTAAAGGCTGTCATGCACGGACGGGGTTGATCAGAGCATTGTAAAGAGAGGAATATGTTTGCCGGGGTGTGGATGAGAGGAGGAGGAGGAGGAGGAGGGAGGGGCCTCACAGGGACAGAAATAGGTGCAACTGGGATGATGTTTGCAGCGTTAAAATAAAAAATAATGAATGGATGTGAAGCAGCAGAGAGGCCATAACACTGTCAGGAGAGATAATCCAGTCCAGACCGCACCAAGTGAAGAAGAAGAAGGGGGGGGGGGGGGGGGGGGGGATGTTATAATAAACGTGTTCCCGAGACCGTGAGAGGGGAAGAAATACATAAATGCATGTTTGTGCTCCAGTTTCCGCCCGTATGTTTCCTCGACTGGAGCTTTAACACACACACACACACACACAGATGGAGGATCACACCAACCTTGTAGACTTGTCCATAGGTGCCATTGCCGACCACTTCCACCAACTCGAAAATCCCAGCAGGGTCCTGTATATAAAAAGCCCCAAAAAACACATTTTAAAAAGATAAACTATATTAATTGATTCCCTGTAGTGCATATCTCCAGATGGGTTCGCTCGATGTAAGCACCGAATGCGCCCGTTCTGCTGGCCTCTCCATGCCAGCAGGATATTACAAGACAAAGACAGGGTTTTGCCAACAACAGCACTGCTTACTACATGTTTTTACTCCCATCATAAAATGAATTGCAGTGTGAAAAGGCCTCCATAACACACACTCACCCTCAGGGATGCGAGGTCTATCTCCACCAGACTTTTGGCCGGGGACTCGTTCGCCATTTTCGCTTAAAAACGGTGATAATTGAGCATAAAAACTGCTTGTTTTTAGTCTCCTTCAGGCGGACGGAGTGTGTCTCATCCTCGGTGGGTTTTATTTTTAATCCCGCTGCAATATTTGCTCTCCAAGGCGCGTTTTTCCCTCTTTGTAATCCCGGGCAGACGCTCCTCTGCTGCTACATACCGACCGACTGGAGCCCTGCCTGGCCTGCTGCACCGCTCTGTGTGTGTGCGTGTGCGCGTGTGCGTGTGCGCGTGTGTGTGTGTGTGCCCGCCCTCTCTCTCTTTCTCTCTCTCTTCTCCCCGCCCCTTCTCTTTTAACAGGGACAAACCGAGACTTTTTGAGGCCCTTACCAAGATGTTGTTGCCCCCCCTCACACTTAAAGTAAGATAAGATATACTTTATTGATCCTGATTTAGGAGATGTTTAGGACACAGCAGCATGTAAACAAGGCATAATATCCTATCCTTCCTTTAAATGTTGTTAGTTGTATAGCTATATTGTAATGTTATAATAGTATATATATTGTAATGATTATGATATATATATATATATATATATATATAGATAGATAGATAGATCAAATTAGAATACAATGTTTAAATTAAGAACAAAATATACATATTGTCAGTATAAAAGACATATATTCAGAAGATGTTTGTTTACTTCCAGAACATATTGACATCATTATGTAACACCCGCGCTTCTATTGGCTAGCGCTTCGACACATTGTACTTGATAGGCTAAGGGGCGGGACATGTCTAAGAGGTTGACCAATCACAACAGAGCCGGACAGCTTTTTGAACATTAAAGCATGGAGACATGTCACAGTAGAGACACTAAATAATAATATGAACCTGAGAATGAAAATAATAGGGCCTCTTTAATATGATAAAAACCACAACGAGACGAGTATTTTAAATTGTCCTTTTCCACATCAGACATCTTGACATGTTATAACAGAACAAGCATAGATACAAAACTATTTTTTTTTACGGCTCAGCTCTGTTAAGTGTCTTCCTAAGAGCGAGGACCCTGCAGGTATGCAGATGTTTTAAAGTTGTCAACACCTGTGCTTTTCCTGCCTTGACATGTCAAATATACCTGCAGTGATTAAGATCTATAGACAGAGGATTTTTGATGACATGACACATAGCAGAAGCTGAGTGAAGTTGAAGCAAAAGTAATAAAATACTATAAAAGATAAATGTGGAGTGTTTCTCATACGTTTCACCTAGGGATGCTTTGTGCAGGGATAACAATAATAAATCTGTCATGCATAATTCATATCATATTTATATTATAATAAGTTCAATAAAAATGCAGATGTAAGTACGACAAACCTCATTTTAACCCTCAATCATAAACTCAGAAATACAGGAGCTATCCATCCATCCATCTTCTCCCGCTTATCCGTGGTCGGGTCGCGGAGGTAGCAGTTCCAGCAGAGAGCCCCAAACGTCCCTTTCCCTGGCCACATCAACCAGCTCTGACTGGGGGATCCCAAGGCGCTCATAGGCCAGCGAAGAGATATAATCCCTCCACCTGGTCCTAGGTCTACCCCTCGGTCTCTTCCCAGCTGGACGTGCCTGGAGCTTGTTTGTTTGTTTGTAGCCTTTATTTAACCAGGTTAAAAAATCCCATTGAGATCAACGATCTCTTTTTCAAGGGAGACCTGCTAAATGTTATGATATATTTCTGCACTGTGAATACTTATATGTGTAAATATGTATTTGATATATCTTTTCCCGTTCCCCTTGTATCTCTCCTCCGCCTCTCCCTCAGACAGAAACAGGGCAATTAGAGCATGTGAAATGGAAACAGTGATTCATATTTTATAACTGCTGTCGCTGCTCTCTGTCCTGTTGAAGGCTGTGATATCCAGACAGGCTGCATTAGATCCTGCTGCACTTATCCTACCTGACAGCCACACACACTGATTATATTTAGCCCTCATAAAAACACTAATATATTTAATAAAGGCAGGCAAATAAAAATAAGTGATTTAAAAACTGTGGTTTCTCAAATGTTGTCAAATAAAAGGCAAAAATTACCCAAGACAAGAAAATGAAAAGCACATTTTTTTGAAAAGTTTGCAGGTTTTGCATTCTTTCAGAATGAGGCGAAAAGTATTAAAAGAGGTGAAAATCACTCCAAGTCTGGGCATGTTGAGAGCTGTACATACATACATAAGAGCCAGCATGCGGGACCGGGATTCTGGGATTTGTAGTCTTTCTAGTTGCGTGTTTTTCATAGTCTTATATTTCAACAGTTTTACGACAAACTGACTTTTTTGACATGGAAATGATTTTTTAAGATTGACAAACATCATATGTGTAATTCGTGGCACAATTCAAACGGGATCGAAAGATAATCTTTCTCTCCCCATTGACTTCAATACATACTTTTTCCGAAAGAAGGTCCCATGGGTCGGAAGTAGATGGGCGGGACTTCGCCTCTCTATATGTGTTGCCCCACCCATAAATCTGTCTATATCAGAGCATCTACATTATTGCGCATCATGTGAAATCTTTCCGGAAAAAAGGATCATGTTGGGGATGAAATCAAATAAAATCACTTATCCTACCCGACAGCTACACACACTGATTATATGTAGCACTAGTGAAAAAACAAAAATATGTGATTTCAAAACTGTAGTGTCTCAAAAATGACTCAAAAAAAGAAAAGAAAAAACGAATTTTCTTGAAAAGTTTTGCACACTTTCAACAATTGCACAAAATAACTAATGCAACATAAAAAATATATTTTAGAAACTATGCATAACAAAAGAGAACTTAAGAAAGAAACTGAAGCCTACAAAATAAACAAAACAACAAAACCTGACATGAGTAAAAGCGATCCTTTCAGAGCTGAGGCTTGGCACGACCATTCAGGGAAACAAACAAGACGAACTGACACAGGACAGGGGAGAGACAGGACTATTTAAACATGAGGTGAGTGGGAACAGGTGGACACAATCAGGGGCGGGGCAGACGCTGATGATGGCGGGAAAAACACACAAGGGGAGGAAGAAAACAGGGCCTGAAAGGAAAGACAAGAGGTAAGTACAAAATAAAACAGGAAATGACCGAGAAAATACATAAACATAACTAACACATTTGACGAGACACAACAAATAAAGGTTTAAAGTTACTCTTATAAGTGTTTCCCCACACTCCAACACAGTGATTTAAATAAGGCGAAATCCACATTAGCATTGAATTATAAATCAATATACATGTGTTTAAAGCAGAGCATCTAAGAAATAAAAAATATTGCGCCTCGTCATGTAGGGGATGAAATCAAATAAAATGGGTGCAGTCCCCTGAAACTCGTGCTTTGGTTCCTATACTCTTAGTTTGAGTGTTTCCTTTGAAGGTGATGTAGGGAGACAACCCTCACACATCAAAGTCTCACCCACTGGGTGTGCCCTGCTTTCATGTGTTATCTACAGCGGGGATATCTCAAGGATTTCAGGCTGTATGGACATCTAAATGACTGACTTTATTCTAGACCCGGAGGGAACACTTTGGCGATCATCTGCTGCTTGTTTGTTAGATGTTCCCAGAAACGGCAGCAAAAAGAAGATTAGTGATGCAGCCTTCGTCAATTATGCCCCAAAGCTATGGAACAACACATCTATAGATACACTGAAAAAACTGAAACGTACTAAATGTTTAATGTCAACACATTTCACATAGTTGAAAGCAATAACATTAAGTTGAACCTGATACACTTTATTTAAACTTAAAGGTGGGGTAGGTAATTCCCTTCAGAAATACTTTTTGTTATATTCCATGGAATGCTCTTAACATCCCGATAGCAATGAATATATTAAATGCTTTGACAATAAATACATTAAAAAATGTCATCTGTGGAAGCCGTAATACTGTAAAAAGCACGACCAATCATCTGAGCCGGCCCGGCTAAAGTAACTGGATGGCCTACCTGCCTGTCAGCCTTCCATCTGTGCACAAACTTATCTCGTGCCCTCATTGGTCATGTGCGCGTTCGTGTGTGTTGGAGGAGGGGCTCTGTGAGGATGTGGCAGACTTTTTCCGGCTGTGTATTTTCAAATTCTAGCGATCTCGAGCTGGTTTCTCAAAAATTACCTACCCCACCTTTAATAGTATTGCTTTCAAACCTAATGCAGTTATGTGGAATTTGTTGACATAATACCTTTAATTAGGGTTCAACATTTCAGATTTTTCAGTGCATCAGTGAAGCCTACTGTGTGGACATCTTTGTAATAAAGCTCAACACATGTTTGGTCACTTTAGCCTTTCAGGTAGCTAACACTTTCAGCTAACACGTGCTCTCTGCTGCACTTTCTCAATGCACTCTGATGCATCTTAAACTGTCACCTGGTTTTGTGTTATTATTGTCATCCCATCGCTGCCATTATTTCAAGCTGTAATCACCGTGTGAATTTGCACTATCCTTCTTTCAATGCACCATTATATATAGATTTCAATCTATTTTATATTTTACGTCTATTTTATGCTCATATTTGTGTGTCTTTACTGGTAACTGTATTCTATGTGACATCAGTTTTCTGTGACTATTGTATGAGATATCAATTGTCTTCTGTGAAGCACTTTGGATTGCAATCATTGTATGATAGGTGCTAGGCTCTCGTCATCTCACGCCTAGACTACTGCAACTCCCTCCTGGCTGGTCTACCTGCATGTGCCATCCGACCTCTGCAGCTCATCCAGAATGCAGCGGCTCGTCTGGTCTTCAACCTACCTACATTCTCCCACACCACACCGCTCCTCCGCTCCCTTCACTGGCTTCCAGTAACTGCTAGAATCCACTTCAAGACACTGGTACTTGCGTACCATGCTGTGAATGGATCTGGCCCTTCCTACATCCAGGACATGGTTAAACCATACACCCCAGCACGTGCACTCTGCTCTGCATCAGCCAAACGGCTCGCTGCACCCTCACTGCGAGGGGGACCCAAGTTCCCATCAGCAAAAACACGTTGGTTTGCTATCCTGGCTCCAAAATGGTGGAATGAGCTCCCCATTGACATCAGGACAGCAGAAAGCAAACACATCTTCCGGCGCAGACTGAAAACTCATCTCTTTCGACTCCACTTCGAGAAATAAAATGAAAAAAAAACTATACTAATAAAGGACTGGCTGATCTAAAGCCAGTTGAGTAGCACTTGAAATGTTTTGGCTCTATGAAACCTGATGTACTTATATGATTCT